GATGATAGAGCCATAGAAAGTGCTCAAAGACAATTTAAGTGGAGTAATGGATACCTTGAATTTGACCTTATTGGTGACTGACAGCATCACGGCCGACTACGGAAAGTTTAAATCATCGCCAATCAAATACAAAATACCAAAGCAGCCTGATTCTTGGCTTGTTCTGTAGGTCTTGATAGTTTCTTTTTGGAAAGCACCACAACATACAACCAGACATTGATGTGGAGAAGGGCAGAGAATGAATGAGTTCCCCAGCCTAGTTAAACAACTTAATGTAACATTTTTAGTACCATGACCAATATTGGGCTGATTTTTGTCTTTATAATTTATAGGCACATAACTAAAAAAACTGGGATTCAACGAGGTCGCCGGGCCTGACCTAAAATCTCGTTGAATCCGAGTGTTCGTTATAGTAGGTAGCGTAAACACGGCCTCGCGGGCACTCGTGGCCTTCCGACCGCGTGGTATCGGTAAAATCGGGGTAATTCCGATCGCTGTTTCTTTGCTCTTTCGCTATAAAACACCAAGTGCCGTACACCTTGTAAAAGTTCAGCTTTTCTTCGTTACAATGGTGTAAGTTGTTTATATGTCCGATTATTAGGAGCTGGAGAATCGCTGACGAAAGCGAAGCCCCTCGCTGTCGGAATGCGAGGTCGGCCGGTTGAAAAATTGACACGCGTGCATTCAAATGCTTCGCGGAACGAGGGATGATTAAATACCGTCTTTTCATTGGCGGAGAACTGTAGAGCTTTAAACGAGCTTTCCCGTGATATAAGTTTAGCCTTTGGCGTCTTTATAGAAAGCTTTTAAAAATACCGTCAAAATGTTAAAAGTATCCCTTTTTACACAAAATATGTATAATACCGACTTATAACTGGTATCAATTAAAAGATCAGTTCCTTTTCTATTAGAATAAAGTTATTAACTTGGAATTATTTTTCATCAATCCTTCCGCGAGACTCAGAAAGCATGTGACCCCGCACGCGGGGTACACTACAGTATAGAGCCGACTCGCTCGCCGCGGGGGCCGGTGCGTGCCGCCGGGTCAACGCTCGGTGTTTTTGTCGAAATAACGACAGATCGTCGTGTTTGAGGCAATAAAATACTGATTTGTAAAGATCTCACTGTCTTGAAAAAAATTAGGCTCCATATATTTGTTATAGTGATTGTACTCTGTTAATGTGGAGATGTTTAGTGCACTCGGTACTTTTTTTTATGTCTGTCAAACATGGGGTTGCAGCCAGTGACTGACTTAAACAAATTTGATCAAATTTTAAACAACTTCAATTTTCTTAAAAAGCAAGTAATGTATAAAGAGAAGTCACAAGTAGTGCCTGAAATGCCTGCATATTATGAGCTGTGCAAACAAGAGACCGATTCGTTCAAATGCACATACCTGTGTCATTTCAATTTTCAAAATGGACCTTTTGCTTGGAACTTGGAACCTTATGTTTGTTACAGATATCTATCCTGTATGACTGACCGAGCAAATAATGCAACATGCAGATTTGGGAGACTTCATTTGTAATGAAATACCTTCACTGCCTGAGTTTTTGTTGAATCCGAATTTCATTGTAGTTGTTGTAGGCCTGCTTGTACTATCCTGATGTAAGCCATGCCATCAAAATTGTAACTTTTAACTGTTAACTAGGTCAGTGGTGGCACAGGGCGGGTTCCTCTGGCACAGCAAGAGAGCACACTAGAGGCATTGACATTATTCTCACAGAGGTCACACCATGGTCAACAAGAAGAGGAAATATCAGCAACATTTGGTGATTTATTAAAATTACCAATATGGTAAAAGTAAAGAAATGGCACCCACTTTCGAATTACACATACACATGTGTAAAATGTGTACCCTTAATTCTAAAAACAAGAAATAACTTATTACAACGCATTGACATGGTCCGTGCACATGTTTACTTGTCATTTCTGCACCCATAAGTTAATCGATGGTGGCTAATCGTGGCAACTCTAGAATTTGATAGAAGAAAACAAACAATAGTTCTTCCACTCTCCAACCAACTGAAGGAAACTGATTCCATATAGGGCCTATACTATATATTGTTGAAACTTAAAATTATGAGCACTAGGATTTAAAATTTAAAAAGTATCAGATACAAAATGGGATGGTAACTGTACCATTGTTCTTAGTCTTGTCTTACTATTATTATAAAGGGTGTCCAAAAAAAGAGGGCCCACTAAAGGGTAATAACTCGGTCATCTCTGCACTAATTTCAAACAAAATTCAAACAACTAAATATCTACCACGAGAAAGTCAAGTTTGTAACAATATTAAGAAAATCAATCAAGGTGTTCGAGAAAGTTCGGTAGAAAGAAATTTTTACCAAAATTGGGTAAAACTAAAACCCACAAATTTAGCAACATAAATTTTAATGCACAAATAGTAATAGTAGTGACTATTTGAAATAGAACAAAATGGTTTAGCTTAGTCAATTTTGGTTGAAATTTAAAATTTTTTATACAGTCCAGTCCATTTATAACAGCCTCTGTTATTACACGAACTTGGATTATACATGTACATGTATAACAGTGGTAAATCAAATTCCCGTAAGTAATATGAACCTGGCTATAACTATAACAGTTACTGGGTTCAATTTGTGCAGACTCATATCCAGTGGAATCCTGTTATAACGAGAGGGAGGGGACCGGAGTAAAATGTCCGTTATAGCAAGATTCTCACTATAAGGGATCCAGTAATAAATTCATGGGAAACTGTAAAGTAGGCCTAATCTATGAGTTTGGTGTTCTGTTTATTTCCTTTTGCTTTCTCCCCTGGTGATGATTTTGTTTCAAAAACGACCTCTAGGTTTTACTTGATCAAAAATCTAATCACGTTTCTTTCTCTAGCGCTAGATCAAGCGATATGGACTGACAGCTCGGCGTTGGCGATCAGAAAGAAAGGGCTCTGGGCTAACTCGCCCGCTGTGTTTTCCCCCACCCCACCCCACCCTGTGGTTCATTCTGTCTGCTTGGGCACGTCACACATTCGCTCCATCCATCACATTGCTGTGACCTCTCCATCCCCGCATCTGAGAAGTGAGAGGCATAGTAGGCCTTGATAATCTAAACTAGGCCTAAGGTCGCCTATCACGCGATGGTTTCTGCTTGTCTGCATATGCCACACCCTCCCTACTCAGTCGTTCCAGCCTTCACTGTTGACACACATGGGCTCTCCTATTCTTTGTTTTGCTAGATCACCAACAAGTTTCTCAACTGGCGAGGTTTTGCATTATGTATAATTGGCCTATACACTTGCACAGCAGCAGCAATATTCCGCTATAACCGACTCGCATGTTTGTCTGATAGCGCTATAGCAGTATTTTATTTACAACGGTAAAGAGGAGAAAAAACGGGGTTTCAGAATAGTGTCTTTATATCAGACTTCTCATTTTTTCCGGACTCGTTTAAGTATAAGTGGACTCCACTGTATAACAGTAATCTTGCAAAGCATGAACTTTCCATCGATCAGTCAAATTATTAAATTTGTCTCAACCAAGACATTTTCATTTTGCCTGTCCACAGTGTTGGGGTCACTGATCGATTCTGTCACAGTGTCAGCAAAACAGTGCACTGGAAAAGTAACAGCAGTAATCGAACATATAGTATGCTGAAGATGCAATGGTACTGGTAGTTTCCCTTGGTAACTGTTACGACTTGCTTATATTGTTATAACAGGGAAAAACTGCCGGTCCCGTCTGTCCAACTGTTATAGAGTTTGACTGTATTTTTCTAACAAATTAATTGATTTCTTTTCATTATATTGACAAATATAACATCCTCATGGTAAAATTTTATTTCTGTGAAGTTCAATTAAAATTGGTGCAAAGATAACTGAGTTATTGCTGTTTAAGTTTAAGCGGTCCTCTTTTATTTTAGACACCCCGTATTACTGAAAAATTCTAATCAAACATAGAATTAGAAAGCCACCAAAACAGATATTGTATGATGTTCACCAAGCAGGTGGCAACAAACTCCAGTGACAGGATTGAAATTGAATAAAATAGCATCACCGGGATAGACAAGCATTG